TACCATCCTGCAAGCTTTCAAGAAAGATAGGTGAATTATTGAGGAAGTGGAGTGTCAAGACAATGTATAAAGAAACAATAACGCTTTCCTCGATTATGCCTCCTTTAGAGTATTTTTCGACGCAATCTCTATATCAGGTTGTTATAATGTTTTGTGCTCATGTGGTAGTGTTTATGTGTGGGGAGACTTATCGACTCATACGTGAAAGGCTATCAGAACATAGAACCGCTTGCAAAGGTTTATGTTTTAGAAATTGGAAGTGGCTGAATATGTGGTCGCTACAGAACAGCAGATAGAGTGGTCTAAAGCCCAACATTTTGCCGGATGTGGGAACTGCATACCTAAGCGGAAGATCAGGGAGTCAATTGAAATTAGCAAAACAAACAACATCCTAAATAAGAGGAATGAATGTATGAAACTATGTAAGAACTATATCTGGCTTTTAAATAGAATAAAAGAGAGAGAGAGAGAGATGGAAAGGGAATAGGAAGAGCCACTGAGTAAGAGGAGACGACTAGACTAAGCTGTAGCTTGTTTTTGAACTTAAAATTGTCAACCAATTTGTGGTTATTGCATACACACGCATCCACTAAGATTTAACAAGACCCAGGACCACTTGATTATTTTCTAGTTTATTTACATTGACAAAAGTCATGACCAGATCCGTTCCCCTGCCTGCATCACTTTGGTTCATATGCATGTAGCATACGTCAGCCAAACAAATCATGGAATGTCTCAAAACGATTGCAAAGTGAGGTATAAGAAGTAGGTAGGATCTCAGCTGGCAACCCTTTATCGGTTTAGTGTTTTTTGATGATTTTCCGTGAATAATGGTTTCTGGCTCTGACGATGTCCGTCACATGACGGACGGAAAATCAGTACGGAATCATCAACGTCGCAAGACTATGAGACATGTTCTTCTTAACACAATTCACCCAACAAAAGTCCAAGACAACCCTCTTGCGATATCTGGTGAGGCTAATCTACGGATCCCTTCTACCCGCCTTCTCAAACGAAAGGAAAGGTTCACCAGTATCATTCTCTTAAGAGGTATTTCGACACCCAGCTTCTATTCATATCCATTTAATCTTGTTTGAAAAAGCCTTATACGCGAGATATAAACAACAACGCAAACATACGTACATACACATTCACGCACTTACAAACTATTCCATCACTGAGGTCTTGATGCTAAAGTATCTTTCATTTCATTTCAAAAGACGGGTATAAACGATCTGTAAGTTAACATCACTCTACACCGATTGGGGATTGTCTTGGACTTGTAACTGCTATATCGTGCGAAGACGACTTCGGTTCACCGTCTCGCCGCACCTATAAATCGTTGCTAAGCTTTTTTCGGTCTCATGACGAACAAAACCTTAGCACGGATTCATCAGATTGCTGGATGTTGAACCGAGGTCTTCTTGACACGATAAAGCAGTCATAAGTCCAAGACAATACTCATTCAGTCTTGGGTGGGGCCAACTTACGAATCTTCTATATCCGACTTTTCAAAGGAAATTTAGGGCACCCCAGCATGAAGTTTTGATTATGGCTTCGCTGCATTTGTTGAACATGTGTTTATGTAGGCACGTTGCTTAAGTCAGTGAGCTAATCGGCCTGAGGTGCATGAAAACTTAGGCTTTGGGAGAAATAACTTCCCTGTAGGGCAAAATGACGGCTCAGCTTTTTAGTTGGATACTATTTTTGCCAATTTGCTGCGAGATGAAGAGACTTAATCAATCATTCCTGTTTATTCCCGTCTGCTCTACTGTCTGGCGACAACACGAAGACCAGTCTGTGTGGGACTAGTCTTGTTCATGTGAGGAGGCTTCCTTGAAGGTATAATTATATTTTTTGCCTTCCTCAGGCTCAACCACCAATCTGTGGACCATTCGACCCAGTCCGATCTACGTACTCCGCCTACTCCTTGCAGCAGAGGCTCGTGCCTCACATGCAAAGGAGACTTGGCTGCCTGCTTGGCTCCCGTCTCTTGGCGACGATTTACGTCATAGTCAGCACCCTCCCAACAGTCTTCTGCCTGCGGCAGATGTCTCGACCAAAGCCATGACCGAGGCTTTTGCATCCGCCGCCTTTGACGCCGAAAATAGAGATAATCTGATCTCTTCAATCAGTCAGTCGGGTTTCTACAATAAACTCGGCGCGTTGGACATTTGTCGGCACCGACGCAGTCTGCTACAGCGACTGGTCGTAGTGATGTGGAGTCATGACGAGGCAGATCGGAACCACGCTTTGGCCCTGATGATCTATACTCGTCTTGCTGAGTATTTGGTAAGATCTTCCATTCCGTCTCCTCTTTAGAACTATCCCATCGAGTCCTGCCTGATTCATCCCTCTCGGGTCTGTCTTGAATGGGTCGACGGACGGACCCAATTTATTTTAACTTAAGGACACTTAAAAATGCATTCTTGTGAGTAAAACATGCTATGGTCTCGTAATTAATTCTTTGACATCCTGTTGATCCATGGGATTTATCACTGGGGTCCTCTTTATTTGTTTTTCGTATTTTAAAGTGGAGTTCCTAGACTACCAGTAAATCATTAATATGAGATGTATTCACCCTATTTCGTGATGTTGGACTGGTAGTAGAATTTTCCCATAAAGATATGAGTAGAGCTGACGTTTCAATTGCATTTCACATAGTCTTGCATTCCTAAAAGTTGTTCTTATCCAGGGTGGACTGCAGTTTTGACCTCGCATCGAAAATGAGAGCTTGACACGTGAGCACTCGTGACAATGTGGCCGAGTGGTTAATGTGTCAAGCTCCCATTCTGTACTGTCACGGTTCGACTACTGCTCGGGGTCTTGATTAGACTTATGCGAGATCGAAACTGCAGTCCACCCTATATGAGAACAACTTGTGGGAAAGCAAGGCTATGTGAAATTCAATGGAAACGTCAGCCCTACTTATATCATTGTGGGAAAATTCTTCTATCAGTTCTTTATCACCTTAAGCGAAATTGGGCAATATATCTCTTTGAAAGTATGGAGACCAAGATGGTGTGGTCTTTTTTGTGGTCGCAGTCTCCTTCCGTTGTATAGAAGTTGTTTGACCTTGCTTTCGCATCTTGGTCATATTGGTAGGAAGACATATAAAGACTTATAAAGGCTTATATAAAATTTCAGGACAAGGTGCGTTCCTATAAGTCTTCCTACCAATATGATCAAGTTGCGAAAACAAGGTCAAACAACTTCAATATATATCTTCATTTGTGTTGAGTAGTTTGTACTTTAGCTTCTTGGTTATCTCCTGTTTTAGCAATTTATTGTGTTACCCCCTAAGCATCAAGTTTAAAGTCCTTTTTGTATATGAAGAAAAACTTGGCTGCGAATAATCGCTGTATGATTCAGTGGGAGTCGATTTTTCATTTCAAGGGAAAAGTAATTAGGGAGAAATTTGTGATTTGGTTTAACCGGAATCCTAAGGAGAATCGCCTTCGAGTGAAGATTGTATAATTGTGCGAATTTGGCTCACTGAGCTGTGAGCCAAATTGGCATCGTCAAAGCATGCATTGCATACACAATATGGCATACTTAAACAGGCCTCAAAATGAGGATATCGTACTCTGAGTTATTTGTGTAAAGGAATAGCTTTCACAATCAACTTCATTTTCATGAATTAACTTCACATATCTACACTCATGTAGGTTTAAGCATGAATTAACCATATTATGGGGCGCCTT